CTGTCTGTCTGTCTGCCGTCCCGGATTTTTATTAGACAGATAATCTCCAAAAGTACTGGGCCGATTGTTATCAAATTTTGTATTTATATTGGGAATATCATGTAGATGGTAGAACGCTAACCAACATTTGTCTAATCATGCCTACCAATAATGTGATGACGTCATTTCAAAATTGTACATAGTAAACGGGTTTTAAATTGTATAAAATAACAGCTTATACAGGGTGACTTAAAAAAATTAATGAATGCGTGAATTTATTTCATTGATTTAACCAGGAATTACAAAACTGAATGCTTTGAAATCTTGGAAATGTTTTAAAATTTTCCCAAGCAAGGTACATTTTTATTTTATTGAATAAATCAAGAATTGCAAAACTGATTATTTTGAAATTTTGCAGACCTTTTAAAGTTATTCTAAAAATGGTATGACGTCATCTTAAAATTTTGCTGAATAAATTACATAGATGAATGCAGAAAAAAGCCTCCACAGGAATGTCTAACAAAACTCAACCGTGTGCATTTGCTTATGGGTGAAGTGACCATGCGTCCAGATATAAACAATTCGCTCGAATAAAATCCAGTACTTCAGTGGCGGAACGAAATTTTAAAGGAAACTTAGATATCGATGACCAAAACAAAGATGAGTGTTGTAAGCCTATGATACATCAATGAATGTAGAACAAAAATGTGGTCTAAGTTTACTTACACACAACTTCCCTCGCCTCTGAGGTACAGTCGAGCAAATACAGAGTGTTCGAAAAATTAGAAAATTTGATTTTGCGAATTTTATTTTAACTTCCCTAGCGTAAGTAAGCTAAGGAAATATTGCAATCGAGTTCATCGTGGGGAGACTGAATACATAAAAGTTGGCAAAACCAATTGTTACTTCTCAAGCGTAAGCTAAGGAAGTATTGTAATAGCGTCTATCGGGGCAGCTTTCCATGTTTTTTCGACGCTTCATGACCCCAACAGTAGAAAAAAGTAGGTTTCCCCTTTTTGCCTGTCTGTCTGTCTATCTGTCGGCCGTTTGCCCGGATTTTTATTTTACATGATACACAGTTACGTAATCGTCTCTCATGGATGCATCAAGCAAGCAGAGACTCGCCTTACAGATGGAAAGTCTCCGATGCGAATGAATACTCCAGCCCTTCAAAATTGGTTCCCGTCAAAACAAAAAGGACAATGTGAGAGGACAACATACACTGTCATTATAGGTATTACACTATTACCTTACACTAAACGAAATGAATAAATTCTGTTTGAATAAGTAATCGAAGTAACTAATTTTGATAATTTTTTATGGTGACTGGAAGAATACCTCTTAATTACGCTGTATATTATCAATACATGCTTAACTTCGACTTTTTGTGTTTATACATAGAATGAATTCGACTATTAACCACGTACAGATGCTAGGATAAGCGGCGGTGGCAGGTAAAAAGTACATATGCATCTCTTTTAAAAGACGATGAACTGAGACTGATTTTATCTCCTGAAAACAGAACAAAAGTCTAATTTTTACCGATTAAGCTATAGCGAGGATTATTTTGAGCACATAGTTATTAACATGATAATTGATAATTATTATTTGATTATTATTGTTAAATATAAGGGGGCGTGCAATTTTAACTTTGCGAAGAGGCGTGTGAATATTCAGTTACGCCACTGACCGTGCCATTTCTTTATCGGCGACTTCGCACGTTGAGGAAAAATATATAAACAAACTCCCAGACACAACATCGTCACAGAATATCATACAGTACGGACAGCTTTTGAAAGTCCCATAAGAAATACACGCAACGGACCAGAACAACAATAATCGACCGTTGGGTAAGGACATGACCTTGAATTTTGGCTTGAAACTGTAGTGGCAAACCTCGTGACTAAATAAAATTTACCACCATGTCAACATTGTGCGTCAAATTTGACATTTTAGATGTTTGGTATTTAATATTGTAACTGTGATTTATTATTTTTACTGAATAGAAAATGCGCGTTCGAACAAATAAACAGAATAAATAATCTTGTGGAAACTGTACACAGGGCGCAGGGGTTCGGAATGCTGGTATGGACACAGTTACGAGGGCTGCTTTTATATATCGGCCACATGAAGGTAAAACTGAGTTGGTAGAAAATAGTGAAGCAAATCGTTTTTCTAGGGCTGCAATATAAAAGGTGAATGCTTCATGCAGCATCTTAAGCTCGCCACTCACGTTCCAACGCCGTAGTACAATTTTGTTGGATACGACCAAATTGAAGTGTTTTTGAATGTCTGTGTATGCGATCAAGCAAATCGGTTGGATGTGGACGGTCGGTGAACAAGTCTGTCGGCAGCAGTACAATCGTGTTGTATTGGATGGAAATTTGATCATGTGTGGACATGACTCGACAGTGTATATGTTATTCAAACCGTGAGAGCAGCTACAAAAGTACATTTTCGTCATTTCGTCGAACATGTTGTCATCACGATCGCAAATTTTTAACTGCAAGGTCGTAACGTGTGTGTACTGCTGCTTTTTAACAGAATTGTACAACAGTTGCATCCAATACAATCGTACTGGGGCGTTGGAACGTGAATGGCCAGCTTTAGGATTACCAAAATGGTGGACCATCATCAAAGGCGTTGAAGTGACAGAGAAGTTTATCATATATGATGGCATTACATGCAACGGCGAAATAACTACATGTTTCACAGGTATATTTCATCAAGCATTTCTTCATTAAGTATCCACAGACATAACTTAAAGAATTTTGTTCCCCCATGTCCAGATGTCTCTAGTCTGTCATATTTACTTGCACAGATTTATGTGCAAAATTTGTTCAGCTTAAAACTGTATTAATAATTTGACACTGGTTACTTTCTTTAGATTCAATTGCTGGTAAAATAGATCCTAAATCATTACAACTATTGGCATTTTCAATGTGCTGTAAAAATTGGATACCAAATAATTTTTTATTGATTATAGAAAAATATATACTTCTTTATATTTCTTATCTTACAGATTTCAAGGGAAATTTAAAGAAGCCCCTGAAGCAGGTTTTTTCATTGTGCCTGCAATCACGAGGTGGTCTACCACTATAGTCCATGTTACTATGAAAAGGTTCTCAGAATCACTTCACGAATTTAACTAACAACAAAACTTCAACCAAAAACATCAAAGTACTTTTCCCAGGGAAGATGAAAGCAACAGCGTTCACTTTCTGACTCTTCAAACGGTTCACACTTGGCGAAAATTGAAGGCATTGACAAAATAGGTAGTTGATATGTTTAGGTTGAAATTAACTTGGTAATATGATAGACTTTTATTAATGAATAAAATAAATATAAGCACAATTCTTTTTTATTGTTCAAAATGGTATTTTTTTCGTAGTCTTCATACCACACTCAAAAAATTGGTTTCAGTTCATTCGATGTTTATATCAGTTCCTTTTACATTGTTTTACGGACGAGCTGTATTTGTAATTTAGGCAACCAATATTCCACTTCGTTTCAAAAATCCCGCCTAATCAAAACGGTGGGTAAGGACACGTTGTTCCAATATTTGACGAGCTGTCTCTACTGTATGGTATACTGTGACATCGTCCCGAAGCTGAAGACAACGAGGTTGCCGGGCGGGGAATCACTCGATTAGATGTCGAGACGATACACTTGCGAAGCCAATTCGAAAAAAATTGTGCATGAGGGAGGCTGTGCTTTCTGTTTTCTAATTATTTAAAAATGTAAAACCGTCTCGGAGGCATCAAATGTCTTTTTTTTTAATGTGAAACCTTCTCGAGGGTACCAACTGTCTTTTTTAGAAATGTAAAACCTTCTCAGGGCTCCAAATGTATTTTTTTAAGAATGTGGAATCTTCTCGGGGGTCCCAACTGCCTTTTTTTTTAAATGTAAAACCTCGAGGGCCCAAATGTTTTTTTTTAAGAATCTGAAACCTTCTTTTCTTATTACACTGTGACTAATATCTTCTATATTGTTTTTATTCCATAGAAGTTATCATGAAAAAGTAAAATTACTCAAAATCAAATTTTATAGTTTTTCAGAGAAGCAGTATTTGTTGGACTGCACTTCAAAAGCGAGGGAAGTTCTGCCGAAATAAATTTAGACCAATTTTTTACTAAAATTTTGGAGATATCTGATTAATCTGTAAGATATACTCCAAATTTGAAGGCTTGAAGTGTGGGTTTGTAAAGCACATGTGGGACAGCATTTTGAACTGTAATACATGCAAATGAGTTATATTGTTAACAATATTTTGAGATGAGATACATTCTTGGGAGAAATGAGCAAATCAATTTTGATTAGCATTTCACCAATTAAAATATAACGTTAAAGTGCATTTCAAATTTCAAATTACTTGTGTTATTCGCTTCGAAGTATTGTTCCCTAGTATGTATTCAATAGACAGATTTCTTGTAGTTTTTTTATTATTTGTCTGGTGCTAGTTGGTACAGTCAATAATGTAACGACATACCATGAAAGAGCCATTGATTTGGTGCATCAGGCTGCAAACCCAATAACTTTAAAACTTTTTAAGATTCATAGCAACAGTTCTCTTGTATAAATAAATAAACAACATATTTTTTAGGTATGTTCCGTGTTACATTATTTACAAAAATAATCTAAACTTTATTCTGTTCATTAATATTTATTGCATAGAACGCTTAAAAAGTTATTTTATGATCAAATAGAAAGCAAAAATCTTTTTGTTGAAAATTAATTTCCACTTCCCTCAAGATAAAATCTGTCGCAACGACCCAACTTACTATTGCTAAATAAAAAAGTTGGAAAGTATTTAGGGAACTTTGTCCAATTTTAGGAGAATCTGCCAGATGGAGCATCGACCATCAAACTTGAAGTTTTAGTCACCAGTTTGCTACGTCATTAACCGAAACCTTGTGCGTATTTCGAGAAGTCCATAAAGCTTATATTACTTGAATCTTTTATGCATGCATCAAAATGGAAACAAAATAACAAGTAATAACGTTTACTAATTAAAGTTTTACCTTTATCTTGAGCCGTCAGGAGAGAGGAAGAAAGTGTTTGTCTCAGTTTTCCGAATGTTGTTCCCCCGTCGGCCGCTTCGGCGGCGGTATTTCCAGCTCCGGGTTCGGCCGCCACCATCTGTGAACAAACATTAAAAGGGGTTAGATTTGCTTTGAATGTTACGCCTGCTTCGCCATTGAATTTCAGCGATAACGCTAACACTGAATATTAGAACAAATTGATTCGTAAATAGCTTTTTGCACAAAAAGTTGTATGAACTGGAGTGATTGTTAGTTTAGATCCCCAAAAATCGTGAATTTCTCGCATGTAGCAGTAACTGAATTTAAACAAGTGATCAAAGTCAAATTTAATTAAAACGCAGCGTACTCGTTCTTCAAAGCTTAAGCCATAATGTACATCAGAAAAAAAGTAATTCTGTTTATTCATACTGTTTGAAGTTTAACGTCCAGTTCCTGTTGATGCTGTGGTCAGTTTTTTAAATTAAATTTTGAACAATTTTAAAGAAGGATTAAAGGACTGGTAAAAAGCTTTTGTCAGTTCATAATCTACTTGTAAATACCTAAACTTACACAGCCTATATTCTGAACGTATTTTTTTTTAATAGTCAAAGGAAAACATAATGTACTTGTTCTCCAGGCGCGCTGGTTTCTATGTAAATAAACTTATACATTTTTATTCCAAAATGATAGGCAGGGAAGTATATGTTTTGAGTTATTTTGACGATTGTTTAATTTCCTGTTTAAGAGGCTAACATCGCCAAAAGAAAACAATCTTGAATAAAAAGCTTTTTTGAAAAAAAAAATAAATAAACATACTTAATTTTAATAAGATTGTTTAGGATTTTCAGCTCTTAATTTCTTAATATTAACTATAAGACGCGAGAAACACTTATTTGCTCTTTCCACGATTCTACCTAATAGGGTACTTATCAAATTCCGTATTTTAATTTTCATGAAAAATTATCTTTAATAGAGTTGTTTCACAACCAGTTGACTACACTCAGTGCACACGACCGAAAGCACATAGTTTGTGGGCAGTTGTGATCACTTCCACTTAAGCAACATTGCGAATTTAATTCGCAACAATTTTGTATCGAAAGGGCGTTTAATTGAAGCTGTCGCCCTTTAGTCTGAAATTTCATTTGTTACTGGATTACACATTTCCGTTTTAAACACAAATTAAACAGTTTCTTCAATTCTGTTCACAAATTCATTTAAAAATGTGTTTGCTACTGAAATGTCACCCCCCAATTCTTTTAAATCCAACTACCCACCTGTGGCTTTTGCAATAAAAAATGTAAATGCATCATCGTTTTTACGTGTGATCCCCAAACACCAGCTTTAAAATACATGGTTTTTCTAAAGAAGATACAACTGAAACAACGTAGTAGACTGAAAAGCAGATAAATTAAAAAGTAATAATAATAACTAGTGATAACTACCGTGAAGAAGTAAAAATACAGTGGTTTGATATTTTGAATCAAATACTATCAATCAAATTTTGAAGTAGTGTGTGAATATAAATGCAGCATATTTCTAGCATTAACAACACTAATTTATTTATGATACTTTACGTTATTTATTTTTGTTTATTTAATTTGCAATTTCTTAAACTTATGTTTGCATGACGCTATGTAGAAAAACTGATGTTTAAAAACTAACTGTAAAAAGATATCATTAACTTTGTAACTTTTAGATGAGGTGTATGTAATAAGATACGTACCCTCATTTAAAAAAATTGGTCTAAAGAGTTTAAACAGTACTTCCCTCGCTGTCGGAAACGTGACGACTGCATGCCTATTATGTTTTTTTTCGCAGCGGATTTCAAAAAATTCGGTTTTGTAGTTCCTGAGTAAATCAATAAAATAAATTTACGCATTCATTATTTTTTTTTGAGTTACCCGGTATATGCAAATTCAAAAAATATGAATGGAATGATAAATTACAAGTACAGACTCATCATATTTTGTACATTCTAGATAGGAATTATTCGGCAAACTTTTGAGCTGACGTCATCAGTTTTTTGGAGAAGATAACCAAATATATTTTGACTAAACATTTATTATGCTCTTCATAACCTTAAAACATCTGCAAGATTTCAAAGCATTCGGTTTTCTAGTTCTTGATTAAATCAATAAAATAAATTTACGCATTCATTAATTTTTTGAGTCACCTTGTATATGCAAATCCAAAAAATATGAATGGAGTGATAAATCATAAGTACAGACTCATCATATTTTAAATGTGTAGAAATAGCGCGAAAATAGCCTGATTTATGAAAATAATTGGTGTTTCTTTAGCCTTTATAGTAAAACCAGTTAGAACTAATGTGATAATCATTGCAAACAATGTTTAATTTACTCCGTCTATTAGTTCTACATTCACAAGCATGTAATTTTTGAAATTTGAAGGAAATTAATATTTGTTTTCTATAGAATTAAATGACTGAGGTACAATGAGCTTGTTTTATTGTTAATGTACTTAGTTATTTTAATATTCCGAAATTCTTACTTAGAATTGTTTCCGATTTGACCTACAATGTATTAAGAACTATTCTCTACAATTTAATAAAGGGACTCTAGAATGAGTTATATGTTCTAAAAGAGATTTTGTAAGCAAATTTTTGTAAACTATGTATTATGTCTTATAATATAGTGGTACTTTTCCGTTATTAATGTATACACCAAAGACATTTTATTTCAGTAAGTTGTTTACTGCATCTTCTGAACAACCGTTGTCTAATTTTATATATTAATTATATTATTTTCAGACAATGGTACACTTAATAACCTGTGTAACAGTAATTAATACCTATATTGCAAGTTTATGGTTATAATAATAGAAGTATTATTAAAATTTCGTCTACATACCTAAACCAATAAATATATTATGATGTACGATTTTGTTTTTTTAAATAATACCTACAATGATATTTCGGTTAAAACAGAGCTTAGTGGATTTTCCAGGGCCCGACCGTCTTTGTTGGCAAAATTTACCATTGAAGTAGCGTTAGTTTTGAGATGTACAAATTTCTAAAAAGCTTATAATTTCATCGACAATAAGTGGATTAGTGTTCTTGAAGTAAAAGCTGCTTGACTGATATTTATGACTTCGTTTGCTGGAACGTTTATGTACAAACCTGTGACATCAAAGAAACTAATATCATTTACATATTTTATCTATTAAATTTAATGAGCTTATTACTGAAAATTTGCAAGGTGTTTGAATGTAAAACTACTGGTTTCATAGGAATATCCTGTTTATGTCATTTAATACATTTTTTGTGGTTTAGGCTTCATGAATAATAAGTTACGTTTTTGTATGAATGCAAAAATTACGTTGTTTCTTTAGTAAAAATGATGTGTTTTGACAAAATTGGCTAATAGTTGCTTTGTTCAATGAAAATTTCAAAATTATTCATGCTGTAGAGTTCAAAATTAACTGCCTGAATGTCTTCAAGTTTGTACAGTAACTTATATATTTTTTTCAATAATCAAATACATGTTAGTAGTTCACTTCTATTAAATTTAAAGTTAAAATTGAAATAAATCGTTCCAAATTTTACCACCCTCATATTCAGCTATAAAAACAGGTAATAATTAGTCATAATTCTCCTAGATGTAACTGTCTGATGAAGGTATTGTCTACCGAAACGCATGTAACAATTTTGCAAACCAAAGAGTAAAAAGCACAGTCCTAAATTAATGTTACGTTATGAACGACATCAAATTTTTAAAGTGATTTTGTATTCCTGACGTATCATGTCCGTGATAGTTTTAAAGCAAATTGTATAACTTAGTTGACAAATTTTAATTTTTTTTCCAAAAATTCAATACATAAGATTAAAAATAAAGCTCTATTAACAAGGCACAAGTATAAAACTACTTCACAAGAGATGATGTTATCAAATTTTTGGTGCAAACACTTATTAGACAAATATTGGTTGCCTTTTACTATGCAGATGATCTATAACAGTCTTCCAGTTAATTGTCTGTCTAATCAAATGGCTAACATACAGAGACAGATAACAGATGGAAATAGGAGACTACTTTGTCGTATTCTAGGAGCACGTCTAGAAAAATGAAATTAGTCATTGGTAAATGGACTCTATCATGGATTTTTGAAAATTTGTCTTTGAGTGTTGCATTTGCAACTCAAACTTTCAAAATGGCGGTAGACGAAAATCCTATCAAAGACAAATCTTCAAAAGTCCATTGCTATCTTTGATCGTGTTTGGTGTGGTTCTGTCGGTACAATACTTCTCTAGCTTATGCTCTGGATTTATATTGTAAATCTTTCAATTGCACTTGTCTTCTTTTGTTTCCTCTATTGACTTTTTCCTGGTGCGGGTCTGCATGCAGACAATACCGATAATACCATTATATTTCACAACGTAAGACGTTTATAGGTATTATTTATCTGTAATAAATGAATACACATTTTTTACACGCGTCATATAAATTAGATATAAACACATAACAAAACAGTGAATAAGACAACAAATATATAACTACACTGACCAGCAAAAGGACCAGCCACCTTAAAATATTTCGCAAAATCACTTTAAAAATTATATTTTAACTAGTGATTGTATTTATTTAACAATCACTAGTTAAATTATAATTTTTAAGAAGATTTTGAGAAATATTTTCGAGTAGCCAAATTTTTTTGCCGGTCAGTATATAAACTAAATAAGAGTTAGAATTTTTTATGTAAGTTCAAACATCAAAGTTAAGTGTGATAATTTTTTTTTTGGTAGTTTTTAGTCTATAGGGAGGGATCATTATATTTGTTGCACCTCTAGTAGCATGATAACTAGGTTTTTATTAAGTTTGTATTTATTTCGATTATGTTTGAGACGAATTAAACTTTTGATTATGAACAGATTAGGAACGGTATGTTCAATTTAAAAAAAATCACATTCACATTCATATCCCCATTTCAAAATAGTGTAACTCATTATGTAAGTATAGTAAGTAGTTCTTAGTGTGTTTAGGCAGCCAAACGAGTAAAACTGTTCAAGATGTGTAAGCTACTACTTAATTGTGCAACTACATATTGTTATCTCACAATTGTGACAATAAAGACTCCTAAAAAACAGAGAGTGTCATTCTTATT